TACAAGATATACAGGGTGATTCAGTCATAATGTCATTAATTTTAACCACGTATTCGAAGGCATAATAAAGACAGAATATCGAAAAAAAATTCTACTCGACCTTTTAAAAAATAAGCAAATTACCCCGTAACTCCCGTTAACTCGGCGCCCTACTTTGTAGCAGAGAACGCGCCGACGGTTCAGAACAGGATTAGAGGAGTGAAAGGACCAACAAGAGAAGAAATAAGAGTGTTAGACAGTGATAGAAAGATATACAACCTTAATATAAAACATTTTTTATTGATCGAAGATCGGATAAAATTGGGAAAATAAAATATTAAAATTAATTGTTAGCCAGTCACATTATTTTATTTAATTGGAAATATAGTGAATTCAAGTCATTAAATTAATTAGAATTTTTTTTACAAGAAATAGAATAACTAGTCAAGTAAAATTTAAATATACATTTTTTTTGTCTTCAAAATTTAATATCTAAATTCATTAATCAGAGTAATATTTTAAAATTAGTTTACTAATCTTCTCAGAACTTTTTTTTCAAAACATAGTGAACAAACATTTGAATTAAAGTACGATTATATACTCATGTGAGCTGGCACCCAGTGAAGAAAGAAGGAAGTAAAATACAAAGAAGAAGAATTTAAGCAGAATAAGAAAATTAAGATAAGATAAATTTCTATATCTCAAGGAACTATAACAATATATTACTTCCATTTGTTGGTTTACACTACACTTAATAATTATAAATATTTATAGGTGTGTTATTTTTACATATAAAATAGCTTAGCCGAAATACAGATACAAGTAAACACAGAAAATGTTACATAACGCTTATTTAGCGAATTATAATCTATGTTTGTAATATAATTAAATAAGTACTTTGAATTAATTATTTTCATTTAAAAAAGTGTACACAAAGCACACTTTCATCATATACAGGGTGTTTCTAAAATAGGGTTCCAAACTTCTGCTGCGTTTATAACTCATTAAAATAAGCCAAAAAGTTCCTATTAACATGTGCCCTAAAACGCACCCTTAGGAAGTTATATGCCCTTAAAAGGGCTCAAACAAAACTGTTTTTTTTTTTATTGAATTGCAGTTATGAAGGATCCGATCATTTAATAAATAATTTAGGACATAAACTAAGACTATTTAAATTTAGAGTTACACTTACTAATTAAAGAACTAATTACTACTGCAGACAATAGCTAAATGTGAAATAGAAAATAATGGGATTAAAATTAGTAATAATAAGTTAAATTACAAGAA